TGTTATTGCCTTGCAATTGGATCAGCTCGATGGTTTTGTTACATAGTTAGTTAACAGCAGAGAGAGAATATTGCTGCCCTACAGGGAGTCCCATGCTGCTGATAAAATGTAATTAGCTCTAACGTGAAAAGTAAAAACACAGCTTACCTGAAATGCACATTTCCTTTTTCTTACCCATGGAGCCCTGTAATTCTGAGGGTGTCACTTTTTATTTAAGGAAAAAATATTTATTTAATATTTACAGAAATTGAAGCTCCCCCCCCAGTGAAAACATGTCGTGAGGTTTTACGGATCTGTTCCAGGGAGGGAACCCTGAATAATAAAGCTCGTTTTTAGAGATTTCCCCTGAATAATAAAGCTGGTTTTTAGAGAGAAGTTGTTTAGTTTATTTTAATAACGTTATCGATCATTTTCATATCTGAAGTTACTTGAAAGTCGATGATAAAGAGCACGAAACTGGTGATCATTTGCATTGGGCAAATTGTTCATAAATCAGAAGAATTAAGAGTGAAATTAGAACTTTCCACCCGGCTGTGCATGAAAACAGATCCGAATGTGAGCAGAATCAATTTACACGAATTAACCTGTGATGTATGGATTTATTATGGGGCGACTTAAATGAAGATTGATGATCGTCCGTGCGTTGTGGTAGCACAGATTGGCAAGACTAATTAATTCTGTTTTGTTTCATTGGTGAATAATGTAACACATTTCAGCCTAGTTAACTGGGGGAAAATGAAGATAAATGAATGATTTCTTTCAATGGTTTCTAAATGCTTCTCAAATCCAAGCACAGGTATGGAGCCATCATGATTAAACAGGAGGCTCAAAATGACTCATCCCCCCCCCCCAGTGATTGATGCTGTCAATAAAACTTTGTTGACGACTGTTGTGAGAACAGCATGTCCTTCATGTGTTTCAAATTGTAATTTGCAATTTAGATAAGTGTTAATGTAAAAGAACTAACGTAACACGAGTTGGGAGAAGCCCCTTCAACTCACAGGATTTCTGCTTGGCACGTGGTCTTTTCCTCACCTGATATTAGTTAAGCCACTGTGACTGTGGGAACGTCCTCCAAATTTTATATCACACTGTGACCAAATTCCCCCTCAGAAGATTCCCTGGATCCCTGCATGAAATACAATCATCTTTAGGGCACTGCTGTCCAATGGGTAAATCAGCAAGATGTCCAGCCAAAGCTTTAGCCACCCCAGTAACTGCTCAGGCATAATTTAATATTATTCATTGTTTTATTCATCCCTCCTACGGTGTGTTTTTAAAATAATTCGCTGCTCTGACGTTTAATATTATGACACATATTTTACATGCTATTTCTGTGGATTTTGATATGTTCTGTATTCTGTTACACTATACCAGGGGTGGGGAACCTTGGCTCTTTTATGACTCGTGGACTTCAACTCCCAGAATTCCTGAGCCAGCCACGCTGAGGGGAAAGGGAGAGGTTTCCAAGCTGAGCCATGCTGGCTCAGGAATTTTGGGAGCTGAAGTCCACGAGTCTTAAAGTTGCCAAGGTTGAGGACCCCAATATAGGGCAGGGGTGGGGAACCTTGGTTCTTTTATGACTCGTGGACTTCATCTCCCAGAATTCCTGAGCCAGCATGGTTCAGCTTGGAAACCTCTCCCTTTCCCCTCAGCGTGGCTGGCTCAGGAATTCTGGGAGTTGAAGTCCACGAGTCATAAAAGAGCCGAGGTAGCCTACCCCTGCACTATACAAAATGATACATGTAGAGGTAGTTCTCGACTTACAACAGTTCATTTAGTGGACGTTCGAAGTTACAACAGCACTGGAAAAAGTGACTTGGGACCATTTTTCATACTTATGACCATTTCAACATCTCTGTAGTCATGTGATCAAAATTCAGACACTTGGCAGCTGACCCATGTTTATGACGGTGGCCGTGTCCCGGGGTCCCGTGATCCCCTTTTGCAAACTTCTGACAAGCTAAGTCAATGGGGAAGCCAGATTCACTTAACAACCGAGTTACTAACTTAACACCTGCGTGATTCACTTAACAACTGTGGCAAGGAAGGTCGTAAAATACAATCGTTGCATCCCTTCCTGAGATAATGTATTGAAAGATTACATTCTGGAATCCTTATTTATTTATTTCGTGTATGGAAACCTAACATTTTTTTTGTATGAAGCAAGGACATTTTTGGAAAATGGAGTCCAAAGATCTGCATAGCCCAGCCTCATCGGAAATAAAATATGGTTTTCTTTCCCTATCTTTTTACGAAAGCCAGTCCTTTAAAAATTAAGCAGCCAATTGGTATAATTTTCGAAAGTAATAGAACCTATTTCAATATAGATGTAGGAATTTAGTAGCTATTAGAAAAAAAATAAGCTTTTTATTGACAATTAACCAGTGGAACAACCTGCCTCCAGAAGCGGTGAATGCTCCAACTGGAAGTTTTTAAGAAGAGACTGGACAGCCATTTGTCTGAAATGGTATAGGGTTTCCTGCCTGAGCAGGGGGTTGGACTAGATGACCTCCAAGGTCCCTTCCAACTTTATTATTATTATTATTATTATTATTATTATTATTATTATTATTATTATTATTATTATTATTATTATTATTATTATTATTATTACTTCCTACCTTAACTTTATTTCTTTAAAGTAAAATATAATCTAATATTTAGTTTCTTTAAAATATTTACATATTTATATAGCTGCCCATTTTTCAACCAACTCTGGGTGGCTCCCAGTGAAAGATTAAAACATATTTTAGTTGATTTTAGGGAGATTAAATAAGTTCACTGAAATGGACTTTTAACCAATTGTGCCCGCTTGAGAAAAAAAAACCCATTTTTCTTAGGAAAATGTAATTTGAGGAACTCTTAGAGAAAGCTTGAATTGGTAAATATACTTTGAGTAGTAGAAACAGAACCTTCAAATTATTATTTTTGTGTAACGAACATCTTTTTTTTGCTTACAGGTTTTGGATAAAGCAGAACAGCTGCGCGAGCTGGAAGGAAATATTCTGCCAGCTTTTCTTAGACTGCAAGAATTGGTAAAGGAACTAGCCTCATGTCATTATTTAAGAATGAAATCTCCGGCATATCCTGACTGATTTAATGAGTATATTTCTAAAATTAAAAGTGGCAGGTCTAGGTGATCTGCCAATAAATTTTACAAAATTATTTTTGTGAATTTTTAATTAGCAGGACAATTTGAATGTGAAACAACTTTTTTGCTAGCAAACTTGATCAATTGTGCGTCTTTGAGTTTAGCTACTCTTGCTTATTTTATTAACTTGTCTTCTGTGTTGCCATTCGTGATATATCAACAATTTGAAAAGTTACTTGGCTAAATTTACAGGATATTTTCTGAACACCCAAAGTAGCTGAGCGAACCAGCAATTTTGTTTGAACTTTTAGTTAGTTCACAACTTTTATTTCCCATAAGAAATGTTGCTCTTAAGATCAGTATAAATTTTGCAAAAATGGGAAAGAGAGAGAGAGAGAGAAAGACAATGTTCCTCCAGGCCTTCCTGTCCTCTGCCATCTTCTGGAGTCCCTTGAAGCTCACGCCTCCTGCTTCAGGGACTCCATCCAGCCCCCTCCTTCTCTGTCGTCCCCTTCTTCTCTTGCCCTCCATCTTTCCCAGCATCAGGCTCTTCTCCAGTGAGTCCTTCCTTCTCATTAGGTGGCCAAAGTATTTGAGTTTCAACTTCAGGATCTGGCCTTCTAAAGAGCAGTCAGGGTGGATCTCCTCTAGGACCGACCGGTTGGATCGCCTTGCAGTCCAGGGGACTCGCAGGAGTCTTCTCCAGCACCAGAGTTCAAAGGCCTCCATTCTTTGGCGCTCAGCCTTTCTTATGGTCCAACTTTCACAGCCCTACATTGCAACTGGGAAAATCGTGGCCTTGACTATACAGACTTTTGTTGGCAGGGTGATGTCTCTGCTTTTGAGTATGCTGTCTAGATTTGCCATAGCTTTCCTCCCCAGGAGCAAGCGTCTTTTAATTTCTTGGCTGCAGTCCCCCTCTGCGGTGATCTTGGAGCCCAGGAAGATAAAATCTGTCACTCCCTCCATTGTTTAGTTATATTTTAATTCTGTTTAAACATAGTTTCACCATCTGTACATTTTTATATGTTTTAACCTGTGATGGAAACTAACCAAGGAGAGAAGCAACCTAGAACTAAGGAGAAATATCCTGACAGTGAGGACAATCAATCAGTGGAACGACCTGCCTCCAGAAGTTGTAGCTGCTCCAACACTGGTGGTTTTTAAGAAGAGACTGGACAGCCACTTGTCTGAGATGGTATAGGTCCTCTTGCCTGAGCAGGGGGTTGGACTAGAAGACCTTCAAGGTCCCTTCCAACTTTGCTATTCTCTTATTTTGAGTTTCGTAGATTTTTTTAAACATCAGCATGTTGTCTGAAGCGTTTTGAGGCTATAGATCAGCCCCTCTGACATTAATAAAAACCAGAATAAACATCTTGAGGTACAGTAGATCTCTCGACTTACAAATATGGACAGCAGTTTTTCCTGGGGGAGAAAGCGTGAAACTGTTTCTCTTCCAATTACCTGGATCAAAAAAGGAGGGGAATAAAATCTAATCAGTACAGGAAGGTCTTTAGATCAAAATTTTAATTCGTCACCGCTAATTTAAGGAGGCTGAATTTCGGTTAACAGCGAAGCTTCAGAGATCAGGAACGTGTGGGATTTTTGCTTTTTGCTCTCCTTCCGTCATCACCCCCTACATGAGTATTTCTCTTTCTTTTCTTTTTTTTCAACGCTTCGTTGCAGGGGTTATTTTTAGCATTCCTTTTGCATTAAAATAAAAATTTTAGACTGCACAAAAGCTCAAGTCAGGAGGAAGAATCCCTTATCTGTACCTGGTTTTTCCCTCATGAGGAAACGGCGCTAGCGGTATAGAACAGAATGTCAGTAGGAGCTCAGATTTCGTTGAGGGATTTAACTCAGAAGCTCGTTTCCATTTTGCTCTGAAGTTTCCTTCCATATTGTCATTCAATAGTCTATGTGCCTTTCTGATAAATTATAGTAACTCCTCATTATCTCATAGCTTCTAGCAAGAAGCTTTCCTTGAAAACTAGGCCCTGAATGTAAAAATAATATTAACGTTTTACTGTTGTAAAAGCATACTAGAGATGAATAAAATGCACATTATCACATAAGAGGAAAGCAGATTGGAAATAAAATAGTTATGGCTGCTTTGAGCCCGCCACAGTTTTAATGATTTAAGTATTATTATTTTTCAAATGCAATCAATTTATCCTCCCTAATAATTAGGATATGTTATCTTTGGGAATCACAAATGTCATAGTGCAGAAAAACAGAATCCTGAAACTTTTTTTTTTAATGTGTTAGCCATGGCTTGATTAAGCTATTTCAGGGCTTCTCACTATGCAAATAGCTTGAAGTAAAATGCTGAATCAGATTAATTTCTTTCCGCTTTTTGTTTTCTTGTCAAACCCGAACTCTTCTGTGATTAAACACATAACTACAAGGTTATTTTTATTTCCTCTCTCCTGTCCCATCGCTCCCTTACAGACGGGGAGGAACGTGACTGTGGTTCTCCTTAGTGAAATTATATGGGAGCTTCTTCGTCCAAGCACGGGATGCCTTGAGCCGCTGCCTTTGTATTTTCCAGATTACAGCATAGGTAAGGACAAAATAAGTAAACGTACTGTGCATCACTTTATTAGTGTGTCTATCAAAGACGAATAATTGAGATGTCTCAATCTTATTTCTATGAACTAGACCAGGGGTTGGCAACCTTAAACACTCAAAAAGCCACTTGGACCCGTTTCCCAGAGAAAAGAAAACACTGGGAGCCACAAAACGTGCGCACACATGCACGTGGGGGGGGGGAGCTTAATTGAAGAGTTTAATTAAAAAGAAATAGAGGCTGCTGTGCATGAGTTCTCTCTCTCTCCTCCCTCTCTCTCACCCTCTTTGTCTCCCTCCCTCTCTCTTTCTCTCCCTCTCTCTCTCTATTCCTCTCTCCGATCTTCTGCTCAGCTGGCAAGCTGGCTTAACACTGTTCTCCGACAAGCTGATTAAGATATGTTATCTTTGGGAATAACATATCTTAATTATTAGGGAGAATAAATTGATTGCATTTGAACTAGACCAGGGGTTGGCAACCTTAAACACTCAAAAAGCCACTTGGACCCGTTTCCCAGAGAAAAGATAACACTGGGAGCCACAAAACGTGCGCACACGTGCACGAGGGGAGGGGGAGCTTAATCTGTCGCCCTCTTTGTCTCCCTCCCTCTCTCTCTTTCTCTCCCCCTCTCTCCGATCTTCTGCTCAGCTGGCAAGCTGGCTTCACGCTGTTCTCCGACAAGCTGACACGCATTCTTATTGGGCTGGCTCTCTCCTGCCCTTGGTCTACCAGTCCTCTTCCCCCACTCAGTGTGTTTGTTTGTTTGTGTGTGTGTGTGTGTGTGTGTGTGTGTGTGTGTGAGAGAGAGAGAGAGAGAGAGAGAGAGAGAGAGAGAGAGAGAGCGCTGCTTCCTGCTGAGACGCAGCAAAGGCAGGAGCCCCGCCCAATAAGCTTGTCAGCTTGTCTGAGAACAGCGTGAAGCCACTCTCTTTTTCACACACACACACACACACACAGAGAGAAAGAGAGAGAGAGAAGGGAAGCGCAAGTCTCTCTCTCTCTCTCTCTCTCTCTCTCTCTCTCTCTCTCTCTCTCTCTCTCTCTCTCTCTCCNAGAGGAGGCTGGGAGCCGCAGGAGAAGGCTGAAAGAGCCACATGTGGCTCCGGAGCCGCGGGTTGCCATTCCATGAACTAGATGCATGAGGCTCAGTCTTTAGGTGCTGGATGGTGGGGATGGTTAGCAGCTAAGCCCCACACACACACACACACACACACACACACACACACACATCTGTCAAGGGACTGTAGATAGTCCTCAACTTACAACAGTTTGTTTAGTGACCGTTCGAAGTTGCAACGGCACTGAAAAAAGCCTGACTTATGACCGTTTTTCACAGTTACGAACTTTGCAGCATCCCCGTGATCCTGTGATCAAAATTCAGACGCTAGGCAACCGGTTCATAATTTATGACCGTGGTTGTGTCCCAAGGCCATGTGGTCCCCTTTTGTGACCTTCCGACGAGCAAAATCAATGGGGGGAAATCCAGATTCACTTAACAACCGTGTCACTAATTTAGCAACTGCAGTGATCCGCTTAACAACCAAGGCAAGAAAGGTCGTAAAATGGAGCAAAACCCGCTTAACAAATATTTCATTTAACAGAAATTGTGGTCATAAGTCAAGACTACCTGCATTTCAGAAGTTCTAATGGGTATGGTGGCAAGCAGTATATTAATTAGGAGCATCTTACTTCCCACTAATCAGTCATCACTCTCAGAATGACGTACTAAGAAAAACATAAAACACACGTAGTGTAAAATACAAATATGAGATAATCAACAAATAATGTTAACTTGCCTGACAGTTAATAATCACTGTATAAATGAACAAGGACCCTAAGGGACATGTTAATAAAATGTTTGCCTGATGTTGAGAAAAGGTAGTTTCTAGGAGATTGCTTTGATCATTCTGGGAATCTGATGGAAAAGAAGGAATTGTGGTAGATGTTTTCTTCAAAGAGAATTGCATCTGCAAAGAAACTAAAAGCACGATACGATGATTTTAATTAAGAACACTTGGGTTGCCTGTCTTTGCCTTAATAATTAGAATGTTACCTGATTAACGAGAGCGAGCTGAATAGCTAAAAAGAAATACTTATTATTATTATTGTTTTGCAAAATGGCTGTAACTGTAACAGCAAGTTTCTTGGTCTTATATAAAAAATATTGTTCTGTGTGATGTCTCCTGAATTTTAGTATGGGAAGCAATGTGGTAAGTCACTCTGTGAGTTTTAATGGAAAACCGTGCTTTTGTTTTTAATTCAAATAGGACATCTGCAGAAGATTCTGTCCCATGACCATCCTCCAGAGTATTCGTTTGATTTTTATGCTGCATATATCAATATTCTTCTGGGAGTCTTCTATCCAGTCTGCAGAGACTTGAAGGAGCTCCAGCATCTGGTGAGGGATCTTCATAATCAAGATAAGATAAGATAATCTTTATCATCACTTCTTCTGTGAACACACTGGCATACATTAAAAAATGAAATGCTGATGCCCGCTCTCAAAAGAACTTAAAGATCCACTAAATGGCGTGTGACATATATGCATATATAAATAGAATTAGAAATAGAAATAGAATAGAATAGAATAGAATAGGGGATGGAATGGAATGGAATAAGGAATAGGATAGGATAGGATAGGATAGAATAAGGAATAGAATAGAATAGAATAGAATAGAATAGAATAGAATAAGGAATAAAATAGAATAAGGAATAGAATAGAACCAGAAGGGACCTTGGAGGTCTTCTAGTCCAGCCCTCTGCTCAAGCAGAACCTAGACCATCTCAGACAGGTGACTGTCTAGTCTCTTCTTAAAAATCTCCAGTGATGGAGCGGCCACGATTTCTGATGGCAACCTGTTCCACTGGTGGATTGTCAGGAAGTTTCTCCTTAATTCCAGGTTGCTTCTCTCTTTGGTCGGTTTCCAACCATTGTTTCTCATCCTTCCCTCTGGTGCCTTGCAGAATAATGTGACCCCCTCCTCTTTGTGGCAGCCCCTCAGATACTGAAATGCTGCTATCATGTCTCCCCTACTTCTTCTTTTCTTTAGACTAGCCAAACCCAAGTCCTGCAGACCGTTCTTCGTAGGTTTTGGCCTCCAGATCTTTAAGTTCTAAATGATACTAAATAAACTTTGCACTCTTTATCTTACAGGCTGCCCTTAATTTTTCTAAATATTGTGAACCTGTGGTCCAAGGAGAGGGTGAGTATTCTACTTTCAGTGTTGTCATAGATACACGTATGTTGAGCGGTGCAGTGGCCTAGAGGTGAAGATGCTCGCCTCCCACTCGGAAGGTTGAGAGTTCAATCCTTGGCAGAGGCAGATGTTTCTCTATCAGGCGCTCGAAGAGGAAATATCTGCTGCCAACTCCGCCTAGGCGTCAGGAAGGGCATCCGGCCAGCAAACACTCAGCTCCATTCAGTCACCTCGACTCCACCCCAATAAAAGGGATTATAGAGTCGCAAAAAGGGGGAAAAATAGATACACATATGCTAGTTCAATGGGAGACAAGAATTACTCCAGAAATTTTCTTATGGGAAGCTGGTGGGGGGTGTTGGAAACGACAATCGTGTGTTTAGCTGATCGCAGTAGTACCGAAACAGCCAAACGTTTACCAAATTTCAATCCTGCGGGGCCTGGATTTTGAGCACGTTCTTTAAGTTAGCCCGTTTGAAGGCAAGTTGATTCCAAAAATTGTTGACCTAAAACTGCGGTCCCCAACTTTTCCAGCTTGGCGGACGGACGGGGAGCGAAAGGTAGAGTGGAGTTCTGTGTGAGTGGCAGGTGCGTGCGCTCGTGCAAATGGAGCTGCGAGGGCACGCGCCCATCACTCAGGCAAGTGGGGCTGCATGCGCTCCCTCGCACGCTGCTTGTATGACCCAGTTCTGAACGGGCCACAACCTGGAGTTGGGGACCCCTAGATTCAAACATTACTGTAAACTTCCCCAGCATGGCCGTCTCCTCCTGTATTGGGACTTCAGATTCCAGAATCCTTAAACTCTGAAAACAATTTATCCATGTCGGCTAGATAATTCTGGAGCTGCCAAGACAGAAGGCATGGAGTCAGAGAAAACATGAATAAAATTGGCAGCCATTGTTACATAGATCAGCCCTGATTAAATTGTCTTTCCCCGGCACAGCGAATGAACGCGACACACGCCGACTGTGGAAAAATATTGAATCCCATTTGAAGAAAGCGATGCAAACGGTTTATCTTCGGGAGATATCAAGGTAATGGCTTCTCTTCCTTCTCTATTTATTTATTTTTTTTACAGCAACCCCGAACTATCAAATACGAAAGTTTTTTTCCCCCCCAATTATTATGAGGCTCCCTATCTTTTTAAACTCTGCTTAATATGGGTCATAAGAGTTTATTTTTGTTACTAATGAAAAATATGCGGTTATTCAAGTGATACCGAAGACAAGGGGGGGGATATGGGAGGTTTCTTGTATGGGTTTGCTATTAAAAGCAGTCACAGATAATAATAATAATAATAATAATAATAATAATAATAATAATAGTAATACTAATAATACTAATAATACTAATAATACTAATAATAATAAAGTGGGAAGGGACCTTGGAGGTCATCAAATCCAACCCCCTGCATAGGCAGGAAACCCTACACCATTTCAGACAAATGGCTGTCCAGTCTCTTCTTAAAAACTTCCAGGGTTGGAGCATTCACCGCTTCTGGAGGCAGGTTGTTCCACTGGTTAATTGTTCTCACTGTCAGGAAATTCCTCCTTAGTTCCAGGTTGCTTCTCTCCTTGATGAGTTTCCATCCGTTGCTTCCTGTCCTGCCTTCAGGCGCTTTGGAGAATAGCTTGACTCCCTCTTCTTTGGGGCAGCCCCTGAGATACTGGAGCACTGCTATCATGTCCCCCTCTCGTCCTTCTAAATACTGAAGGAGTACAGATGAATTGTATACAGAGTAACAGAGCTGGAAGGGACCTTGGAGGTCTTCTAGTCCAGCCCTCTGCTCAAGCAGGAGACTCTATACCAGGGGTGTCAAACTCGCAACGTCGTGTGACGTGTCGCAACGTATCGTGACTTTTTTGCCATTGCCGGCAATGGGGTGGGTGCGCTTTCGCTATGATGGATCCGGTCCACGGGCCAGCAATTTGACACCCCTACCCTATAGCATTCCAGACAAATGGCAGTCCAACCTCTTCTTAAAAAACTCCATTTTTTAACCTCCACAACTTCTGGAGGCAATCCTTTCCCCCTATTAATTGTTCTCACAGAAAGAAAATTTCTGATTTCTATTTCTTAGTTCTCCCTCTGAAGGCCCCTTCGCCGAGTCCTGAAGGCCCATCTATTCCGTGCGGCCGGCCTGGCGTAGTTTGGATTGTGTTTCAGTGGGGGGTTTTGTATGGGTGTGTTTTTAGAACAGGCCTATTATTCAATTCGATTTTAAAACAGAAACTATTTATTTATTCATGGTTTTTAGTATTGCCTGTTCACCACCCTGAGTCCCGCAAGGGAGATAGGGCGGTATATAAATTTAATAAATAAATAAATAAGTCCATTGCTTCTTGTCCTGCCTTCAGGTGCCTTGGAGAATCGGTCAACTTATTGAAAAGCTGCCTTTGGGACTACTTTTCTTAAGGTTTTTTTGGTTGTCCCTAGGAAAACAGCTAGCAAATATGTTTGGTCTCATTCTGCTGTTGATATTCAGCAACACATTTCCAAAGGGGCCTTTTCATTAACACCTGTCGCTAACATTTCCTGATATAATTTCCCGTATTCACCTTACGCTGGATCTAGTAAGGATGACATGTAATGTTGAATAATAAATGTTGATCTAATAATAATAATAATAATAATAATAATAATAATAATAATAATAATAATAGTAATAGTAATAGTAATAGTAATAATAATAAAAATAAAGTTGGAAGGGACCTTGAAGGTCATCTAGTCCAACTCCCTGCTCAGGCAGGAAACTTTATACCATTTCAGACAAATGGCTATCCAGTCTCTTCTTAAAGACTTCCAGTGTTGGAGCATTCACCGCTTCTGGAGGCAGGTTGTTCCACTGGTTAATTGTTCTAACTGTCAGGAAGTTTCTCCTTAGTTCTAGGTTGCTTCTCTCCTTGATCAGTTTCCACCTGTTGTTTCTCGTCCTGCCTTCAGGCGCCTTGGAGAATAGCTTGACTCCCTCTTCTTTGGGGAAGCCCCTGAGATACTGGAAGACTGCTATCCTGTCCCCCCTCGTCCTTCTCTTCGTTAAACTAGACATACCCAATTCCAGCAGCCGTTCCTTATATGTTTTAGCCTCCAGTCCCCTAATCATCTTTGTTGCTCTTCTCTGTACTCTTTCTAGAGTCTCAACATCTTTTTTACATCGTGGTGATCAAAACTGGATGCAGAATTCCAAGTGTGGCCTTACTAAGGCCTTGTAAAGTGGCATTAATACTTCACGTGATCTTGATTCTATCCCTCTGTTAATGCAGCCCAGCACTGTGTTGGCTTTTTTGGCAGCTGCAGCACACGGCTGGCTCATATTTAAGTGATTGTCCACTAGGTGCTGAAATGGATGAGCGTGGCTGATGAATTTCATTTGGTCTTTTTTTTTTTTCTCCCTTCTTTGATTCACGTCTAGTATTTATATCATTTGTCCAGTTAATTAGCAAAACTGTTTCTGATTCCCTGCTGGAGGTGTCTATTTTGAGATAGTAAGGAAGGTAGCTGCTGTATTGTTTGGATAAAATTTTCTGTATTGTACCCTAGGACAAAAGCATCACAGCACATTTTTACAAAATGTTTAAAGGAACACCTGGGTTTTGTTCTTCAGTTGCCAAGCTGTCTGTTCAGTAAAATAATCTTGTATTGTTCCTGTTGTCGATGTACTGTTAAACAATTTAACTGCCTTACTGCTTCAATCCCAAAGAATCCCAAATGTGTATCCTCTTTTAAAAGCAAAACATAAAAAAAACAAAACCCTTTGCTTTTCGCCGTGGCAAACCCAGGGCTTTTAAATGGCTACCTTGTCTTTTTAGCTCCCAGTGGGAACGATTACAGCAAGATAATGGAGAACCTGGACAAGTGAAAGGTATGTGTAGCTACAATAGTTTGGCTGTGTAAATTATTGATGACAAAGGGAGCCTTAACAATTTAGAACAAATCAGCCACCGTTAACCGAGCAAGCATTTATAAATATACCAG